TATATATATATATATACACGTAACGAATTCTACTTGTAAACATTCTTACAAGTGAGTGTTTTTTGAATTGAAATTTCAATTCTTAAATTCACATAATAAATTATAGTTTAGTATATCAGATGTATGTCGCGTGCGGAATAAAAAGTTATTATTATTTCATTTTGTTGCGCGCGCAAAAAAAAAAAACTAGATTATATAAAATGGTTGGATCGTTGAAACTTATTGTTTATCTTAATCAAAAAAACGCACGTTCAACGCAGTTTCATTTACGCCGTCCGTCGGTAGTAACTTTGTTTGCGATTGCGGAGCAATCTCGCGACGCACACTCGCACGCGAAGTTTAATATACGCGCGTTCGGGAGAGTCAATTTGCGACTCTCCCGCTCGCGCATCATCTCCCGCGCGCGGTAATCGCCGACGACGAGATCAAACATAATCTTCCAAATTACCTGCACCGCCATGATGCTGGCTATGGCCGTGAGATCCGCCAGTGTCCTTAGGTAATTGAAGTACCTAACGGACTCGTCCACGGCGTCCATTTCCACCTCGCCGTTCTGCGCGGGCATCATTCTGCGCGAGTTGCAAACAAAACTGCGACTGCAACCGCTCCGAAACACACTGGAGAATTATCTCTCTCTCTCTCACAAATCGCAAAAGGAAAGTCCGCGCGGAAGAGTCTTCCGGTCACTGACCGTCGCGTTTCAGACCGCGACGGTTGTACAAATAAAAAAAAAAACACGTCTCGCTGATTGACTCACAAAGGAGAGAAAGAAAGAGATTATCCCGATTATATAATCTCCGAACGCGTGATGACATGTAAATCGAATCGTTGATCAATTCGCGGTTCCAGTTTCCTTCTTACTTTCTCGAGCGAGCAATTGTCACGTGAGGCAAAACTAATTTGTACGGTACACAATAATAAACGCGCGTCGCGTGAATTTCATGCGAACTGCTCCAATTTCCAGACTCCCGGATTCTCGCGGGGTTCGTCGACTGTTGATGATGATACCGAGTCCCCGGAGCGTGACGCGGAGAGTCACGGATGAGAGCACTTTCTGATTCACCGACCTCGCGTACGTATTCTCGCCACTTCTCGTATTGAGCTGCCTGCGAGCGGCAGAGTTGGCTTTATCCGCCTAGCCGCCCGACTGCAAAACGTGGTCTACGTGCCTGAATCGCGCCGACCGTGGCTTTTTATCTTGGCAGCGGGCACCGCTCCGCCTGTCGGGTCTCGCTGTCCCCGTCTCGCGCCCGTTTTCCATCTCTCCGTTGCACGCGTGCCGATGTCTCTCTCCACTTCTCTCGGCGTGTTGGCGAACAGAGAGAGCCGGGCGGCGCGAGTGGGAGAGAGCAGAGAGAGAATGCACCGGGCCGAGTTGTGATATACGTGCACAAGTGCGCATACTACAAGTCGCATCCCGCACTTGTTCTCTCTCATGTAAGCGGATATGAATTTTTTAATTATTTATAATTATATATATATATATCTGTGTGCGTGTACAGTCATTAACCCGATTTACCTAAGCTGACTGCGGAACACAATTCGCTATTTGTTTTCAGATTATAGTTTTATCTATATATAATGACGCGGGAAGGGAACAAGAAAAGGTACTTAATTAAGGTTATCGAGAGTCGATGTTGAGTATAAAATAAAGTCCGACAACCTTCAAGTTGCGATGACAGAGGTTTCGACCTTAATTAGGCTTGTATCAAAATTTCGTGTCACGGAGAGAGAGAGAGATCAGCTTGAAGATTGTATATCTATATATCCTTGTGCTCTAAAATTTTAAATTTAATCTTATTTACATGTCGCGAGAGGTCTCGATGCTGATTCGTCGCAAAAGAACACTCGTCTAGATCTTCTCGGGGATAAATTTAAATTCATTGAAATCGGGAGCGACTGTGTTCGATCTAATTGTGTACTACGCGAGACGAACTCCAATATGTCCTTAGCAGAAAGAGAAAGAGTGAGAGAGAGAGAAAGAGAGAGAGAGAGAGAGAGAGAGTACTTCGCGTAGCCACGCGTGGGTTTTCAGAGATCCTCTCGTTAATTGAAACTTCTCAAAGGAAATCAATGACGATTACGTTGCGCAATATATCGCAGGGAAGACAATTTCGGAAGCAAATCTCTAATTCATACTCCACTGCAATAATCTCCGAACTCGAGACGCAGAAGCGTTATTAGCTCCCGTAAGGGACTATCAATAGACACGTGTACTATTTGACACGCGCCGGATAACACGCGCCAGTCGCACGTGCCAAATTGTTTATTGGAATTCATCACCAAGTCATCATATGGGTTTAATCGACTGTTTATTTAAATGTCGAGTACGTGACGCGCGCGCGCGCGCGCGCGCGTGTGTAAAAATTAATAAAAAAAAAAAAAAAAAAAAAAAAATCTAAAATTGTCTTCGTCCACTTCTGCCACGCTTTGGCGCATTGTTCGGAGTTGTTTCCGGAAACTCGCTCTGCTTCTCGGAGATTTCGGCAGCAATGAGATCCGCAGATAAATTTGGACATAAGACGAACTCGCGCGCGGAGAAGAAAACGCGGACAGCCACTTATCTCTTAAGCTGTCGCCGATGTTTCAAGATGAAGCTTTACTCTCGGAAGAGAATTATTAGGAAAGCCCCCGCTTTAATCCTATAGCCGGAAAATAACCTACGCTACGGAAAAGTGACGTGTTTCTACATTGGAAAAACGAGACAAGACTTTTTTCCTCAAAGTCGAGAAACTTTCCTGTTTCTCTTGTTCGTTTTTTTTTCTTTTTTTTATTATTTCATTGTAATCACCGTACTTCCTTTTTGCTCGTGTATTTTTCACTTTCATCTCACGGGAATTAAAGTGATTCAATTGATAAATAAACGTCACTAGGTGTAAGGCAAACAAAAAGAGAGAAAAGATATTAATAACAAGCGTTACAGAATTCTGATAACGTCTGGGAAACTCGTCGAGAAATTATGAGATTCTCTCGCGCGTCAGTTGCGGTGATAATTGCTCAAATAAAAAAGAAAAAAAAAAACAGAATACGTGACACGACTCACGTGTCGTTCAACTCTATAACGCTAGATGATATTTTGTGGGCGCGTGATCCAACTATATATATATATATATATATATTGTGCATTAACTTCACTCCATCGTAATATGAATCAAACTTGTTTGGTTTAAAAGATTTTAACAACGGCGACCAATATTAGTGGTGACGTTCATTATCGCGCGTGATTAAGCAAACGTTACGTGCGACGTGATTAATGTTTAACAATCTAAAAGGTGGCATCACGCCATCCATTGTTCTGGGATTAAAACCTCATAAATTATTCGATAACGAATATGTAGTTAGGCTCAGTGTAAAAAAAAAAAAAAAAAAATAAAATAAACAATAACGTGTGCAATTTCTCGAACATGTTAACACTGCGTGTGCGTTTCAATTGTTATTATTATTATTATTATTATTATAAGTAACTCGGAAAAATTATTATTGAAAAGATTATATAAGATTATATAAACTAGAGACCCATTACATATATATATATATATAT